CTTCCGATGGATCTTCCACTCTGCTGTCATCTCCACTCTCTGTTGTCTTCCTGGCACTGAGGCTGAGTGTCCGTTACCACTAATCTTTGCAATTGCAAATTGTATCTCTTGTAATTCAGAAATATATAGTGGCAACTATATCTCTAGCAAATGACAGAAAATAAAAAATTGAAACGGCTGAATGTTTCAAGCAGAATGTGTTGAAATAATATAAATGATTCACTTCATTTATTTTTGTTTATTTTCTGCCAGGTCTTATAGACATTTAAAAATAACTATTGACATATAAATCATATACCATAAAAGTCAGTCATTTAAAATGCATAATTAATGGTATTCGGTATATTTACAAAATTGTGCATCCATCACCATCTAATTTTAGAGATTTTCGTCACCTCCGAAAGAAACCTTATAACCATTAGCGGTCTTTATAGACATCTAAAAGGATGAACCTGGTAGAAGATGTGAAACAAAGGAATCAGTTTTAGTCTGTAATCTAGATTTTATTTCAAAATTTGGGGAACTCAATTTTCATGTCTCATAAACACCTGACCTTTCCTAACTTGGTATGTACTTCAGATTTCATTTCTCCATCCAAAATAATGATTTGAAAAAAAAGCAAAACCACAAAAATCTTGTACATGTGCACAAATATAGATAAGTACTTGGCTTAATGGAGTATGACTAGATGCTTTCCTAGTGATACATATGAATTCATTAATCAGCAGTTTATATGTTTAAAGTTCAGCCCGTATTTTTTTGTTTTGTTTTTTAATTTATTGGGCTAACCCAAGACACTCTAACATGTGTTTTGCAGAAAACAAGATGCTTCATGCTCTGGTTATTCCCTTGTCTTCCTGTATACACCAAAAAGAACACTTACTCCTAAGACGAAGTGAATTTTTTTGGCTGAAATGAATGAACTGATCACTATTTTTGTTTCCCTCAGGACTCCCAACTTGTCTAATAATCCAATAAGAAATTTATATTGTAAATCTATTGGTTTATCATTTTCCCACTTTCTTCCCCCTTTTTAAGATCTAGGATAATATGTGCCGGTTTTCATTGCCTGGCAATCTTCCTCTTTTCTGACATTTCCCT